GGAATTTATATCATACATTTCAGAGGAGACTTCATCCCCAAAATGGTTTAAAAATAAACCTTAAGAGATAAAGGTCACATCTAGAAATTTTAATTCTACACCTCATTCCCAAATGCTGCTAAACAAAAGATGCATACTTTTCTTTTGTGCTTGGGAGGGGAGAGAGTCCTTTAACAACATCTCCCAGAAGTTGTCGTTTTGTTGTTACCAGACCAGCAAATGTGAGTCGTTTAAATGATCGGAGATCCCAGGACAGATTTGAGTTAACAAATGGGGCAGAGAACACGACTGACAGATTGGCAGGGGGAATGGCCTAGGCATCGATCTCCGTAGGATTTCAGAAAACGTGAACAGGGCTTCCATCAACAGCTGCCCAGAGTACCTCCTTGCAGCCCCTGGCAGCCTGCATGGAGGGAGAGGGGGAGCTGAAAGTCATTGCCACGTTGGTCCCCAGCCTCCCTGTCTTGGGATCGGGAGGTGGGGTCACAGCAAGAGACTCACATCAGAGGGGGCAAGACCCATCTTGCCAGAGGGAAAATTTGTCATTTTCTAAGCCAGTGGGAAAAAGTAAATATTTAATACTGGTCCTACTAAGTTAGTCTATTTCTAGATTTCCCCGAGGTCTTTCTGCTTCCCGTAAGCATTCGTTACTTTGTACTTGAAAGTTTAGCCCATATATTTCAAAATTCTCTTTCAAGATTTTTCTGTTCCTTAAGAGGAAGTATGTTTAGGCTGAAACATTGCAAAATTAAGGGTTAGGGGAGTGTTCTGGATTAATTATATCCTTTCCTACGTATCTTGCTGTTCATCGAAAGTGTTTTGGGTTCCATTCTGTTTGAAATGCACATCCCAGCATCCCTACGTGGTTCCTTCTGGGACTCTTCCAGGAGACAAATGAATTCTCTCCCAGGACAGGATCCTTCAGCTAAACAGGCAACCAGACATGAAGAACAAGCTATAAATTAGAAAAGAACTGGTCGTTCTGAATCGGCGGCTCCAGAAGTTCAATGAAATATTACTGCCTCAAATAAACTCCACTTTCCCTCGGATTCCCGAACATCTCTTTGCTGAAATGCACCTTCTCATACTTCTGTGCGTTGAAGGGAAACGGCTTTTAGAGACTCTACAAGTTATTTGTTGAATAGTAGTATGAGTTTTCCATCTTAGTTTTTTTCTGTGTTGGTAGTAGGGTTCAGAAAGTGTAATTTTCTCTCTCCATGAAAAAAAGAAAAAAGAATGTGTTGACAGAAATTTAATGGAGCTAAAACTCAAGAGCTAAAGAGGGTTTAAAATGTGGTTCATGGGAGGAGACTCAAGAAAGACGGGCTGGAGAAGCTGCTGGTGATGTTTTTCATTGACGCAGGATTTTAAAATATTGAGAAAGAGCTATTCTTTTTTTTTTTTTTTTTTTTTTGGTTACATTGGGTTGCTGTACGGGGGCTTTCTCTAGTTGCGGCGAGCAGGGGCTACTCTTCATTGCGGTGTGCAGGCTTCTCATTGCAGAGCACGGGCTCTAGGTGCACGGGCTTCAGTAGTTGCGGCACGTGGGCTCAGTAGTTGTAGCACCCAGGCTTCAGTAGTTGTGGCTCGCAGGCTGTAGAGCGCAGGCTCAGTAGTCATGGCACACAGGCTTAGTTGCTCTGCAGCATGTGGGATCTTCCCGGACCTGGGCTCGAACCTGTGTTCCCTGCATTGGCAGGCAGATTCTTAACCACTGTGCCACCAGGGAAGTCCCAAGAGATGTTCTTAATAACTTCCATATTATGCAGTCGTGATATGGAATGAGGACTTTATGCTCAGTATAAGTGCTACTAATAGCAAAGCTCAAACTGCACAGAAGCTTTTCTTTTTTGAAAGGTCCTTTGGTGAGAAAACCCAAATTCATTCATCCTTATGAATTGTTTTTAATCAGCAGGACAATAGAGTTCCATTTCGTTCTTCATTGACAATTAATATATCATTTAAAAAATGCCTGATCCATGTCTTTTAATTATCCATGCTTCAAATCTATTTATTAAACACCTAGTATAGGCTTAGAAAAGGAAGAATTCCAAGGAAAACATGACACGTAGAGCAGCTGCTGTGGATAAAAATGAAATATGGAACAATGATCAGCAACTACGTTAGATTCAGAGTTATGTACCACAGGTTTACTGGATAAATTAAGAGAAGGAAAAGCATAGAGCAAAATCTTGAATCTGTAGAGTGCGCATAAGTTGGGAGGTAAGAGGAAAGAGCGTTATGTCTAAGAGGAAAAACATGGGTAGAGAGATGGAAATTGAAATAAAAATGGCATATCTGTGAGACAGAATTAAAGGTCCATCTGGCACTGGCTTATTTCCTCCTAGGACCCAAGCACAGAGGCCAGAATCACAGTTCATTAGCTCAGCTACTTTATTTTACTTAGAAATCCATTTAGTACATCAGAATATTCTTTTGGCCGGGAGTGCTGACCAAATTATGTTGGATTCCTGATACATTGTAAGCCAAAACATTTGCATCATCCAAATCTTCCACTTCAGTGAGGCCTGGACTTCTGATTTTCTCCCCTAAGGGAAAAGAAATAACTGAAGAAAAGTGCTATCACTGTTAAGCTAAATAATGTGTCACGTTTTTGTATTTTTTTTTTAAACCAATCCTTAAGATTAGATAACCGCAGAGAGAACTTTAAAATGTCCTTATCATCTGTACTGTATTTTTGCAGAGGATGTTTTCTAAAGGAAAAGAAGATGAGCCTTGGAACAGACTTGATAAAGGGATAAAAGAAAAGCAGGAGGTCAAAAGTTCTTGACTCTTTTGAACATTGATACTTTAAAAAAAACGAGGTCACTTGACGTAGTAGAGTGATTATGTTTGACTATGGTATGGTCTGTTGGGACAGCTCGTTTTGGAGGGAGATAAATTTGCTGGGGGTGTGTATGTACAATTATTATAGAAATCATCTCTTACAAACCCTTATATAATACCTTAATCCTATGTACATCTCCAAAAACTCGTTTTTGGTTAGGACCCAGGCTAAGCCGCTCTAACAGAGAGACTCAAAAATACAGAAGCTCCAGCTAAACAGGTCTCTCTTTCCCCTCTCATGGAACTGTAGCTGGTTAGGCAGGTGGTCCACAGTCAGCAGGTAACCCTGGGACCCGTCTTGTTACTCTGCCTTGTACTAGGGTGTCATCCTTGCCTGTGTGGACAAAGCTCCCTAGCTTAGCTCTTACCCCCTCATTCCGGCCCATAGGAAGAGGGAGAGGATGAGCGAGGGCAAGTCACGCTCTTTGAGGCGAGCAGCAAACCCCTGCTCTCCACCCAGGAGCAGGAACTCAGTCACGCGGCCACGGCCAGGTACCCAGCTGTGGGGGAGGACAGGAAACGTGGGCCGCCGCGACACTTGCTAAAGCTTGGCAGCGGGAGGAAAGGGGGTATTTTACTAAAAGGAGAAAGGCAGTATCAGCTCCAGTAGTCATTTGCTTTTGTTCAAAATACCTTAAATATTCATTGTAATCGCTACCTGATGGGGCATTTTATTCCATTTCAGGGTGACCATGATTTTTCAGAACTTCTTACATTAAGCACAAATCTCCCTATCTGCAACATCTGCCCTCCAACTGCATACTAAAAAGTCTAATTTCTCTTCTCTATGATAGCCTTCCTGTTTTTGAAGTTAACCAACTCTGTACAAGGCCATCCCTTCTCAGCTGTAGGGATAGCAACATTTATTATTATTACAACTGTTGACTGAAAAAAAAAAAAAAATGCACAACCTAAAAGTGAAAAGTTGTATTTTATTCGGGGTACAAAACTGAGGACTTAAGCCTGGGACACAGCATCTCAGGTCACTCCGAGGGACTGCTCCAAAGAAGTAAGAGGGGAAGCCAGGATACGTAGGCGTTTCTGCAACAAAGACCAGGTAGTCGGGATATCAAAAGATGCCTGTTCATTAAAGAAAACCAGACATCTCAAGTTAAGGAGCTTAGTGCTTTTCTGTGTATGGGAAGATGCAAGAGTCTGGGCTCACTGAAATCATTGCTTTGATATGCACCTCAGCTCTCTGGGGCCAGTATCCTGTGCTTTCCCATCCTGAGTGTCCTCAGGGGGCACCGTCAGGGGGTAGCTGCAGCGTCTGACTGCTAGACGGGGGGCATCTTGCCTCCATCCTGAGTTCCCTCAGGGCTCACTGTCAGGGCGGCTGTAACATGATGGCTTGATGGCTGCAGCATCCTTTGCTTACTGACATGGCAGGCAATATTTTTCATTCACACAACTCATGCTCAGTTGTAATATATCAACGTTTCCACGACCTTC